GTATAACAGCCGGCAGATAATCCTCCATCTTGACAGTTGAGCGAGGACTACCAAACCCTCTCAACATATAAGATTTGAGACTTTCGCGGCGAGTACAATCAATAAAATCTTTTCGGGAAATCAGCCGCGACAACTGGTTACCATAGTAAACCAACGTTTCGGGACCCACCTCTGTCCCCATCATCAGGGTTGGTTCCCGAAACGTTTGTTTACTGCGGTAACCAGTTGACGCGGCTTTTCCTCTCAACATATTTTGTAATTTTACACAAACAATAATTCATTTCTTGTTCGTCCCTGGGTTATCTAGCGGTTCTGTTTCAAACGTAGACGACATAAAACATCGAATGTGATGTAATTATTAAATCAGGTATCAATTAAGAAAGTAAGATTTCAGTAGAAGGTAATAATGGCCTACTTTACCTTAATATTTTCTGATTTTTTTTCAAACTGCTGCGATTAAATACGATAGGAAACAGAACATAACAATGTACATCACAAACAAAAGGCTACGCTACTCTAATCAACACCATGAATCGTTATGAAAGTCATGGCACCCAAAAATTAAAGAGTTTTTTTAAGAACAAAATTTTATCACTTCACATAGCGTTTTAGCTTCCGTTCCTCTCTTAAGGAAAAACGGAAGCTTGTGATACCACCTTACTCTCGTTCTTCTTTCATGTCCTGATCTGGTTTTAAGATGGCCAAACCCTATACTTCGCTGTTACGGCGGACGCATAAAATTGTGAGGTATTACCGATACCAGCGCCATGATCATAAAAGAACGAATTAATAGGTCTTCATAAAAATTAAACTTTTACGGTAACTCGAGATTACTAAATTGCTGGACTTTGTCTATTATCTGGTATTCAACGGAGCACAACGTTTCGGAAACTGGATCTATTTCCGTCCACAGGTGAAAAGGAACGGGGTCTTGCTCAGTTGCGTCCGTTAGAACAAACAGATAACCTCGGTCACTGGTCACTGGCCTAGTGGTGTAAGTAAGTAGACGATGGAAAAAGCCCAAGTATTTAGTAATCTCTAGAATAACACGCCATCGTTAGGACCTATTAAAATATACTTTTACGGTAACTGTTACGTAGAAAGTAAAATAGTAACTTGGTGGCCGTGCGATGTCTTGATTTACCTTCAGTTTGACAGCGATGGTTCATGAGGCATTGAAGCTATTTGTATGTTTACATTAACCCACTCTGATTAATTAAAAAGCAAATAAGGAATGTTTGCACATTTGTGTATTTATCGTTTCTCTCTCAGTTTGATATTTTACGTATCCATGATTCGACTTTGAATTTTTTAATATTAAAATGACTTATTTCTGTCAATGACGACATATCGATGTTTTATTTCTAGTCATACCATTATGGATGGACGCTGTTTCTATTTGTGAGCACATACGGTATATCGTAGACATTTTACCTCCAGCTTCAGCTGTGCATTTCGTTACTGTTTATAACATATTTTAACAAAAACATTTGCTCCCTTGAGGGCACTTTCTCTATACAAGGCAGTGTCTAGACTTGTAATTTGTAATTAGTTACCAATTGGGAGATCTTTCATTAACAACTTTCTAATTCCTGCACGGTTTCAATTTTAATGTTATTTTGTTTTTCTTTGTTTTGGCTTGATGAATTCACTCCGTATATCTTATGACAGTACAGATAGTATTGGTTCATTTCAGCTAACTACATAAATAAATCCTCCATTAAGGACCGCGAATTCAATATTTGCGCACTGAAGAGCGCCAAGGATGCTCTTCCACATCTCATCAAAGGTTAGTTTTTCCAATTTCCAGGTGTGTTCTCATTTTAATTTCTTAAAATAGCATCTGAACTAAGAACAATTTTTTTTAGTTACTGGCCTATCTGAATGCATGCCTTTCAAATAATGTATCTGATTTGGGAATGTAATTTAGTTTCGTTTGTGATAATTTAAGTTACCAAAACACTTCAGCCTTGTTTTCTCCTTTCAGCATAAAACTGGTAGTTAGGTCTAGACCAGCGTTCCGCAACCTGTGTGTCGCCTGAAGGTTTCAGGTGTGCCGGAAATTTTTTGTAAAGAAATCATTCGCATTCATCTCTCGCTGTTTAAACGTAACATAATGCTACGTTTATATGGCGAGAGTTCAGAGCGGCAGTCGGTCTTAAGTCAGGTATATGGAGAGAGGTATCGGAGGGTGTTTAGACGTTGAGAGAATGTTACTACTGTCGGCCTGAGAGGTTCTTCCAACAGAGCGAAACATATCTCTACATGTCGCGCTTCTCTCAGTACCGTTTACACAGTGAGGCAGTGAGAGTGGCTATAATGAGACAAAACAGAACTCTACATGGAATTGACAATGAACTGGAGCCGCCATAGGTCAGTGTGTTCGGAATGGCAGATGAACAACAACGTGTTACGGCAGCTGCGGTAATTTTAATTCTCTTGAAGAGGAGAAGACAGAGAACAATTTGAGTAAAGCCCTGCCTTCTCAGGGAGTTGTGGGTGGAAGATTTCATCCAGTTACGAAATTTACTTAGAATGTCGTCAACAGATAGAAGAAATATTAACATATTTCCCTCAAGAAACTTCATATTTTCGATGTACGGCCATTGCGATCTGAATGTGTCTACGGTACCTTAACCCGACTTTCTGGTCCGTACTTT